CAGCAACAACAGAAGCAACAACTCAACTGGGTCAATAAACAGGTTAGCTACATGGCAACGCAGTCAAGATAGGAAGTAATAACTGCACAACCTCTCCACATATACCTTATTAAATCTGACATAAAATTACGTCAACATTTGTACAGCGTGTAGTTTTTATGAGTTCTTGTTCAGGCCCTGTGAATGTGTTATGGAAGGCATCTCAAGTGTTTCTGGTGCAGTGGAACTATAAATAGCCTTGCTTAGGTCTGCCTCTGCTGTAAATAATTCTTGTGACTTTTTGTGCATTTACTTTGAAGATAAGTAAGAGGGAGGTAGGTACATACCTCACAGCATGAACTATGACATTTAATGGCCTTATATCTGAATGACCTCACGCTTTAGTCATTGTCTGATTGGTTTCAATGAGAGTCTTTGTCATTGAAGCCTCCTATTTTCAAATGTAAAGCACTATCTCAGTATCTAAAGAGATATATTTTCTCAGCCTCACTTAACAAAGCTACTATTTTGGTAGAATTTGACAGTGCACAAAGCAAGCCAAAAAAGAGATTTGACTTGCATACATGTGCACATATCTATGTACATATAATCACACAAAAGCCATTATTTCAAAGTCATTTATAAGCTGCTAAATAATGCCAAAAAAAGATAGAATTTATATAGTGTCAGTATTCTGCATAACTTTACATTTTGGTTCACAGAATTGGATTATAGTATAAACTAACATCTGTGTTTGGATAATTTCCTTTAGTGTACTGTATAGTTCCCTTTCTGATTTTATTGGATGCTATGTCCAGGATTTTCCTATTTATATATTTGTCAAATTTGTTGTGCTGATTCTTTTCAATGTGAAAATATTCAAAGTATCTTTGTTTCAAACAGTAGCTCTAATGGACTCCTTCAAGTTGTCAGCGGAGCAGTTTGTTTTCAGGAACAGGTTTGTTTTGTTTCAAAGACTACTTTTACATGCACTTAAGTATTGATTCCTGATGCAGAAATTAGAAACCTAGTTTCCTTTTATCAGTTTAATGCATTAAGAGAAACTTGGTTTACCCAGTTAGATTTCTGATTGAATTTGGCCATTTCTAAACTTCCTTAGGGGTGTGCTAGTGTGCATGACAGTGACCCAGGACAGGGAAGGTATCACAGTGGCAGTAATCTAGCAGCATTAAAGGCAGTATTGTTACTTGCCCCATACATCGTTGCATCTAGAGTAATAACATGCAAAGTCCAGTCTATGCTGAACAAAACTATTGATTTGCCTATTATAAAGGTAAATGGTTTAGTTTATTAGACAGGCTTGAACAGTAAATCATATGTCCTAATGTGCTTAACGAGTTTCTTCAATTACATATTAGAAATACTTAAAATATGACAAATGTTTTAAAAATGTGGAGGAGGGAAATCTGCGGTCTGTGGTTTTAAGTCAGACAATTGCAGCGCATCTAAATGAGTTGTCCAATTTCATGCCTTAACCTCATTTCTGACACTTACCTGGTCTCTTACGTGCATGTAAACGTAGTCAAACTTTGAGAACTGATTTCACCGGGCTGTGATGTGACTTAGGTAGGGAAAAGTTGTAGAAATGTACTATTGAAGTTGCAAACAGAGATGGCATTTACAGTCACAGTTTAAATGTTTGCACAAGGAATTCTGCAACAGACTGAACATTTACTTGATGTTACATTTGTCAGATAAAATGATAAGAATCTGGCTGTAACAGTAAGGCTTGGGAGTGAGTTAAATATTGAATTTGTTTTGTGATATCTTGTAGAGTATGAGGTTTCAATGATTAAAAAAAAAATGAAGTGAATGTTAGAAGCATGTTGAAGAGAACATTTTCTGTATGGCTTTTTATGGGAGGCTGAATTGCTCAAATACAGATGTACGAATACATGCAGCCAGTCTCCAAGGATCATGGAAGTGTTTGGCTGTGCCTTGCAGCACATTGCTCTCAGGATGCTTTCAATTTTCTAATTTTCCGTCTTGCCCTGCCAAAAACCAGTGGTTACTGGCAAGAGTCTACTCTGATCTAGTAATGATATATTTTGTGAAAATCCTACATGTAACATGTAGTACCTTAAAGTTAGTTATGTACAGTTGACACGTGGAGATGGCATTGCAAAACTTTGTACTTTTTCTGTATATCCTTGTTATGCACCTTGAGATCTAGAAAATTGGGCCAATAGGGTGGCTTTACATGATGCAACTTTCGTCAGATGAAGTGATGTTGGTGTCCATTTAGGTGCGAAGTTTCCATCCAGCCAAAGACAAACATTGGTGTTAAAACACTGATTGATTGGACCTCATAAATTTTACTCATACTGAGACTTAAGGATGCTAATGGATGCTAATCATGACAGTTTGATATGGCCCGGAGCTAATCACGTCAAACCTGTCATTTATCCACAAGAAATATCTAATGGGGCAAATTTCCATCACTTTTGCTAAGCACAGTCATGCTCCCAAGAGGATCCACTCCCTTGATTTTAATGATCCATTGCCTTTTCTCTACTCCCACCCTCAGGACAAAGTGCTACATTAAACATTCAACCTACAATTGCAGCGAGATTGTATCATGTAAAGCCAACCCTGACGGCAAGATCATGCGTTGAGTGAATTTAAAGGGAAATGCCACTTACTTTCAGGATTCGGGTATGGTACTCCTAGGTTTACTATAGGATTGCATGACTGAGCATCACAGATTTAGCTCTCAGTATAGTATCACATGCATGTGAAAGAGAGGAGGTTGTCTAATGTCAGATTTGTGTTAAGACTCCACAGTCAAATAACAAAAATGCATTGGGGACAGTTTATTGTTTTAATGAATAATTAAAAACAGGGAAGTGATGTTGAGTTAGAAAGTTGGGCTCCCATTTGTATTAAATGGTGCAGCCTATGTTTTGATGACATCGCAGACCTGAATATTTGTCCTTTGATTTAGTAAATGGTTCATAATTATAGAGAAAAATTGAATGAGAATTTTTTAAACTGAGTGGTATTCCTCTTTAAGAAGGCTAACTATGTGAACCTGACTTTGTCTCATTGGTGGTGTTTCAAAAAATATATATTTCTTTATAATGTTTAGGTACAACTGTGTATATGAACAGACATAAAGAAAAAAAACATTTGAATGTGTTTTGCCCAAATGAATTTTGGGCTTTGCTGACTTTGTTTTTTCATGAAAAAAGACAAGGCCACTTAAGGCCGGCTGTCTGTTCATGAGAAGGTGAAACAAACTGCCTAAATGTTTCTTCATGTGAAACAATCAGATTGCAAGGCTGCTGTCAAGGTTGTTTCTGGCATTTGGCTAAAAGTTTGCGCGCCGCCCTTTTTCCTCGATATAGTTGAATTGTCATAGATTACAAGAAAATTGCCTTCTCAGTGCAAAAAGACTGAAGTACTTTTATACCGCGATAAATCAACTCTAAAACCAAGAGCATCAACACTGAGAGACCAAATGAAGGTCTCTAGTGGCTTTAATATCTTAATTTGGTTTTGTAATATGTTTTTAGTAATAGTGAGATCCTTGTTTAACCTGAGCACTGGAATAGTCAATTGCCCTGATGAACTCAGAGTTCATTTACTTTGGTTTGTTAAGGAATTAGTAACTTTAATGTAGGCCACAATACAAATATACCAAAATGTAAACAGGTTTCATTATATTGATTTATATTCATTGTGGGAATTATTCTAGAAATGTTATTTTGGGTATAAATAGGTAAATCAGGGGGTATATCCATATCAACTGAAGCAGTTAGACAATATAAACTACATGGGATTGGGCTGTGATTTACAGTGCATGAAATGAATGACAAATCAATTTAAACTTGGATAGATCTCGTTATATTGTCCATAAAACACAATTAGTTTATGGTTTCATAAAGACATGCACACATGATTGAATTTTAACTGCTGATTTTGCTCGCAAGCTCATACGTTACTATTTCTGGCACAGTGCCACATTTCTAGCACTTCTCTGTAATTAGATAAAATGCACTCATGGGCCATGTGGGCTTAACAAGTAGCCTATTAGAGCATATTCAGATTCAGAGCTCAGTGGCTGTGTGTCCATAATGCTGAAATAGTATTTATGGTAGCTGCCCTAATCCTAAAAGGTAGACTCTGCTTTTACAAATTCCATCTGGACATTTCCCCCACATGAACAAAGGGGGAAAGAAAAGTTGTGTAGGGACATACTTTTCTTCTTTTTGCTATGTCTTTTAAAGAGTTTTCTGTCTTTATCAGAGATATTTCAGTTCACTACAAGAAAGAATCTGTGTTCCCTGAGCAGTAGGCTACTTCCAGGCCAAAAATAAAACCCTCACTATTGCTACAAAATACTTTCAATGTACCAATCCAGTATTTTACTGCTGTGCCCAAAGGTTACACTAAAGGCCAGAATGGTGGTTCATAGTCCCCACCCTCCCTTTGAAAGTGCCGCAAACAACTAAGCCACAAATGTCTAGAATTGACTTTTGCTTGTTGATACAAATTGTATCTATACCTTGAATGTAACAAAATATGAAATGTATAATATGAAAATAGTTTTATTTAAATAAAGGGGGAAAAAATCAATGCCATAATGTTTGTGACACTGTGTGTCACTGGGAGTAGCCCATTGGTATGTACTAATTCTTACTGGGTACAGTAGTTAACTTACAGGGACATTTACGTGCTACATAAAAGTGCACAGATACCCTGTGTACAGCAGTAAGCATCATGTCCTCTCTGTAAATAGTCACACGTGTGTGTGTATATATAGAAGGCGATCTGTAAATGTAAAAGTAAAACTTTCTTCAGTTGTTTAAATACTAAATACTTTCTGTGTTGTAATCTGTGCACCTTGGTTAAGTGCATCTATTTCCTCTGAATTGACATGTCTGCTTTATGCTATTTTAATGGGAATTTCAATATTTTTGAATATATTTTGCCTAATAAAACATGCCAAAGTTATTCTTGGGTGACTTTGTCAAACATAATTTTTTGTGACTCAACACACGGGTTGTCATGCAATGAATTCTATATTTCAGGGGACAAATGATTTCTTTTCCACTTGATGTAAACTAAGAGTAACTTAACACCAAACACAAATCTGTGTCTAGCCTGACACTTAAAACATAATACAGAAATTGCAGTGGGAGTATCAGAAAAGGGCAGTATCAGTAGCATACTGAATGGCAGGTTCACTGTCAGTTTTTACTCAGATTTGTGTTTGATGTTTAATTCCTCTTTCAAGATACAGATGCTTTTAAAACAGGACTTTTTGGAGTGTTTGGCAGTTGATTTAATGACGAACCCTGTATGTTGACAAAGCTGTGGTGTGTTGAATTATTCACCAACTGTAATTTCATCATTTTGGCCAGTTTGCATTCTGTTGTTTGAAATGACCAGTCTGTAGGTTGTAGCTGACCCTATGGGAATTAGACTAGTGCTATTTTCAAGATGTTAAGACTGATATTGTCAATATAGTATTACCTTAAGTTCGGTATCAGTTGTTGATGGCTAAGATCAAGACCAAAGTGATTTTTTGACACATTACGTACCTGTTATGATAATTGGTTCAGACACATTAACAGTTGTGGTCAAATAATTGTGAACCCCTTGACGTCTTGCAGTTTTTACTACCATATAATTCAAAAAGTGAATTGCTGGCACGACAAGAGATACACACATTTGAATATGACTGTACATATATACACAGTGTAATACTCAGGTTAAATCACACAAACATTTTAAATCACATACTTGGGTGTTTTCTAATTATGGGGAAATGCAGTGGTCACATTTTGAAGAAGTGGAGGTCTCCTGTTTGAGGCAGACCGTTTAGTCTGCAATGTAAAAAGGGAAATATAAAGCAAGTTTTTTTGTGTTGTGATGATCTGCGGTATTGTAATCCACACTGACTGGAAGGCATCGCTTTTATAGACCAAAATATACAAAAAATAGAATATTTGGGTCTGTGGGCTCAAACAAAATGTAAGTCTTAATGACAAAATGTGTTTCTCTCCATAAATAAAGCAAAATTCTGTTCACACTTGTGTCCTATCCTTTTTTAATAAGACGGGAAAGAGACCTGACAAGAGACAAAAAGTGTTTAAAGCTGTGTGTGGTGACTGTAGTTATTTATGTGGGGGGAAAATAAAAAATGAACTTTGGATATTGTGATGTCTGAAGTAAAGAAAGGTAGGAAAATATTTCCCTTTGCCGAATATCTCAGTATGCTTGCTGATCAATATGTATAGCTCTCATCCTCCAGCAGCGTATGCAATATGTAACGTTTCCCAAGATTCAAGCATTCTCTGTAACAAATATTGAATAACTATTACACATCTTAAATAAATTAACCCACAACAGAAAAAAGGTAGATGATTCAGTTCATGCCTTCCCCATAACAGCAGAATAGATGGCTTGAAATGGTTGTTCATTGAAAACAGTCTTCATTGTTTGGTAGAGGAAGGTAAATAAATTGGGAACAATGGAGCCAAAGAATGTAATATCTGATTTATTAGCAATTCGTGCAATAGCCTCATAGGTTTGGTGGTGGTATGGCAAAACCCTGTAGAATTAAAAGGTACTCAGTAAGCAGTTAATCAAAATGGTAAACTTGGTATTACTAATCCCAGTAGGACCATGACCTTTTGCCCCCTCAACAACTGCATGTTATTTTTGTGCATTTATAGGCTGAATGATTTCATGTAGTATATTGAAACTTGTATAGTTACACACAAGCAAGACCATGTTGTTACTTTGTTTCTTGCATATGCACACCTTCCACCCCTCTGTATGTACAGTAGCTGTAGCTGTGCAACAGGTTACACAGCACATGCACACTATCTGCTGGTTAAATGTTGTAATAGCTCAGGGCATGTGTCATTCAGACACACTCATGTAAACTGACTTTTATGATTTCACATGAATGACACTAAAACGGCCTATTTAACTAATACAATATATCAAAGTAAAAAAGAGGCTACTGCTGCTTGTGCCTAACTGACTGTTTACATTTTTACATTTGCTATGAGGTCTGCAGTGATATATCATGTTGACGTGCAGTTTCATAAGGAGAGACTTACACAATCACACAATAGCACCGTCTTAGATTGCAACACATTAAAGTCTTCAGTTTCCACAGCCTTCAAAAAGACACAAGACACAGAATTCAGGTCATATTATCTTCAGACACTCTGCCTATAATCATCAGTCTATAAAAGTACAGTGACTAGAGATAACACTTATAGTTCCAAACTCACTAATATTGATTACTAAATAGGTACATCTGTGTTGACCCCACGTACAGTTCTGTGTACCGTGAATATAACTATATAACTGTATATTTTATAGACTGTGGTGCAAGCCACACAGTAATCATAATAATAAAGGAGGACTGGATATTTTGACCTTCCTCAAAAGGTCTGTTCTCTTTGGCCAGATGAGGGATTTTTTTCACAGGTCTGGTCAGCATCAGCCTTGACTTTGGAGGATTACACACCATCTTGCCTTTGATTCAGCTGCAGTGAGCCGCTCATTCAGTGAGTTAAGACTGTGGGAGGTCATCTTGCCCTGGGAGTGTAGGGATGAGTCAACATAGAAACGCAGTGACGTCTCTGCGCTGTGCTCTCTCCGGGAATATTAAAGCACCAGCTGGTCTCCAGGGATTCCTTCATGCAGTCACTTTTGGATTCTAATCATTGAATGCTGTTGTCATTTCTACTTCCACATTGTGCGAGTCTATGTTTAGCATTACACTCCCTTGTTTTTGCTTATGTTTTGATTTTAAATCATTTAAATATGTAAATAATAATATGTTGGAGGGCATACTCAGAGTTAAGGTTTAAAACTAAACCTACATCAAAAAACACTAACTGAAGATTACTTGAAAATACTGGACAGACAGTCAACTTAATTGAAGAGGAAAATACCTCTGTGACTTGGACACATGAAGCAAAAGTAGAAAAACACTGATTTAACTGAAAAAATATAAGTTAAGACATAATCAGCTAGGCGCCGCTGTGGAGGGCAATGTGTGATTGTGCAATGATTTGAGTCAGTCAGACACTGTTGACGACAAATTCTCAATCTGGTGTGAGCAGGAAATTTCATCCGGAGGAGCCAGAGACAGATGGTATGACTGAGTTTTAGCGCATCAAGCGTTTATTACACACACACACAACACTCGTGGGTGAAGTGGTATAAAAATGACATATTTTGGTTTGCTGAGAGCTGGGGAAAAGTATGGTTTGATGAGTCACCGTGCTCTAGCTGGTGCACACCAACAAAAGCCGAGAGGCCTGGGGTCTTGTCTCCCATGATAAAGCAGTCTGGCCGACCAGCAGCCGAACCTCTGACGCAGCAAGGTACATTTCAATAATGTGTCCGGGGTTTCCCTTTAAAGGAGCAATTCTCCAGGAAATGATGACTACGAAAACAACTCGGAACAACACGCCATGCTCTACTGCCACCCAGGACACCACATCTTAGCCCAGCTGAATGTTTCTGTCAATTAAAGCACCATTGGGAATGTGTGTGGTAACAACAACCGTCTCCACCACATTACATTATGACCCTTTCTGTTGGAGTCTGTATATATGACATAGAGGGAGTTAGACATTTCATGACATTTCATATATACTAGATTATTTTTTTTAATTACTTGAAATAAGTTAAATATTAAATATTATAGGAATACTAGGCTCCCACTATGAACATGTGACATAACTGGTTGGCTCGTTAATGCTATTACAGTTTGTGCTTTACACGGCCATCAGTTTTTAGGCGTCTTGCCCTGATAGTTCACTTTTCTTTGTGGTTTGGCCGCAGATGTTTTGGCCTCTTTGAAACTCAAAACCACTGATTGACATGACCTCTTGTATAACTTTCATTCAACCCAACATAACCCAAGTTTACAGAAGTGAAATTGTGAAGTTACCTCAGAGTTTATTTAATACATCATTGTGTATACCTCCTTTAATTACTCAAAAGTGGTTCAAACCCTGTTGCAGGTGCAGTTAGGGCCACCACGACTTCAGTGCTCGTTGTATTCACTTCCTTTATGTCGAAAACTGAAACAGTACACAGATCAAAGGCACTGAAATTTTAGTTTTTTAGATTAGTCGACATGGTTAATGTAGCCAGAATAGATGCAGTGTGCAGACACACAATGACCACAAAAAGGTCCACAATACAATAATAAGACCATCATATGAAATACAAACAATTACATTGATTGAATATATATTATATATTGGAAAGTGTGTACTTAAGCAGAAACAAATGCCAAGAAAGTGAATACTACTAAGTACTTTCTATTAGTTCATTCAGTAGTTGCCTGTGTAGTAAGTTTTTAAAAGAGCCTTTCTCTAAACCACTTAAAGGATTTTATGAATATTATCTACCAAATAGTTTCTGTTGGTTGCTGGCAGACTGCACAAACCCTCCTCTGGTGTTCTACTGTTTCTAAAGTAGGCTATAAAAGTCATTTGCACCTTTTGATAAGCTTCCTTTAATGGTACTGATGTGATGTGCTTACAGGCTATTCCACATTTCTGCCTCCTTCTTAAAGTATCCTTACACATTAAAGAGTATTTTGAGGCTTGGTGTCCTCAGTGTGTGCTGAGAGAGTGCTGCTGAACTTTTTGTCATAGAGTAGAGAGGCAGCACACTGCAGCCATGATGATGCGGCTGCTGCAGGCGGAGTCTGCTGGCCTGAACCCTCTCTTTCAGTCTGGCTGGCTGCTGTCCTGTCATCGGCCTGGGTGTGGTTTTTTGCAGTCGGGGGTACCGTTAGCAGGAAATCAAGCTCCAGTCCATTTCACTTTAAGGCGAAACAAAGAAAAAAACAGGCTCGCGAGCGCACGGTAGAAAATACTTGTTCGCCCTCAAGCTAAAAGTAACGTTAGCTTCCTCGAGACAGGAAGGCGTTTGATTGGCGCCGTGCTTCTGATGGGAAAAAGTTTTCTTCTGGTCTCGTTAACTGGTCTGATTTAAGAACTTTTTTTTAAAAAATAAAGCCTGAACCGGACGTAAAAGAAAGGAAAGATGCCGAAGACGGTAAGAAAGAAAACTGCATTAACGTTGTCATGTGAAAAGTACCGTCTTTCTGTCTGTCTGTCTCTCTCCATTGTCCCTATAAAATCCCCACTGGGACGTATTGTTTGACCCTGGTGCTCCATAGAAACCTTAAAGTAACCCTAATAGCAGCTTTAGTACATATATTTGTGTGTTTTTAAACCTTTTACATCCATTGAAGCTCACCCGAGGATCACTGGGGTACTTTCCGTTAGGTGTGTGCGCGTGCGCGCTCCCGCCTGTTTGTTCATTAAAAATAGCGCCTTTCATCAGATCATTCATTCAGGCTCTGGTGCTGTGAACAGCGCCTTATTGCGTTACCGTGGACCTCTCTCTCACACTTGGACACCCTGAAATCACATTTCTAGAACCGGTGCCCCGCGGAAGCCGCTGTGTGGCCTGCAGTAGCGACCTAGCTAGTCCTCCTAAAGGCCTCCTTTTCAGTCAGGTCTAACAAGGAGGGATTTGAACTGTCATTCAGGCCAGCTGTGCTGCTGCCCAAATCTGGAGCAAATGGACTCAAACTAACACAGGGAGGTGGCATGAAGCGATAAGAAAAGAGGCAGCATTTTAATTATTTTTTTTGGTCTGAGCTCTGAAATCAAATGAAGAAGCACCCACAGCTCAGTGGATTTGTGCTGGTGTAGCTGTGAACAAAGAGGAGGGCGGCACACAGGCTGAACTCTTTCTTTTATTCAAACAGCATTATTACAGACAAAGCCCAACGTAGCAACGAGAAGTGAAAGTGGGTTCTGAGCCAATCAGATGGCCCCCGGTGAAAGCAGGAGTTGGGATTTGACTCAGCACAAAGCTTTTTGAATTAAGAATATAATATAGAAACTGTGAAATGTGTGTTCTTATCCGCAGGTTGTTCGGAGCTGTGGTAGCCACATGCACTCTCTCACAGTCTCATAACCCATGATGAAAGTGATGCTAGCTGCAAAGATGTCAGTGCAGAATTCAGTTCTTTGTTTCAGTGGCGCAACATCAGATTGCTTTGTGCTCTTCCCTAAATGCTTTAGACTCATAATCTACCTGACATTATAACAGCTATATTATTTTTGCCAGCAGCCAGTAACTCAAGCCAATGGGATGCTACTTTTTTATGAGCTTTTAGTAATTAAATATCTGAGGGTATATGTACGTATGTATATTTAGCACTGTTGACATATCATTAAAGTGACTCGTGAACCCGTGCACTTCCCAGTAACAAACAGAAATACGAATAGTACCAAGGGTTGTACCTGCTTTCTTCCTGTAGTATTGTTCTGCTCGTACTTCCTCTATATTTTTTCCAGCTGTCAACCAGACAAAAATGTTATAGCATCCTGGCATTTAAAGGGTATGCTTCACCATCCCCTTCTTCCCAGAAGGAATTCCTCTAATCATATCAGCATTTTAAAATAGACTTCAAAGGGCCATTTTGCGTAAGTCCTTTGTTAAGTTGTGAAAATGGTGCTATTAGGGCAATTAATTGATTATTGTTAGCAATAAATCGGCACATTTATTCAATTTATTATTTAATTTTTAGCTCAAGACGAGAAGAAACAATGATGTTTAAAATACATTTGAGCAGTGATACATTATTGATCAGAATCATATATCCTGTATCCTCTCTGTAGTAAATGGAGCTCAACAGTATCTGCAGTTAAAGTTAACTAAGATGCTCTGTACAGCATCAAAGCTAATAAGCACTAACATTATTTATATTCTTTCACCGCAAGTGTTTACTATGGTCTTCGTTCATGTATTAAGTGCCAGTCTGTGTGCCAAATCTCTGCAGAGTGCAGCTGGGACGCTGTTAGCCTCAACAACAGCAGAGTGTAAGTAGCAGCTACTGAAGTAACAGCTGTGGACCTTAAAGACCTCGAAAGAAGCCGTTTGGCAATCCCGATGGGTTCACAAGCACAGGGACACTGCAGGGAAAGAGCAGCTGCGTAGAGCTGTACAGACTTTAGCCTGCATGAAGAGCTAGAAAATGGGAAACTAGTAGTGGACGGAACAGATGGTCAAGAGGAAGCAGCAGGATTCTCTCAAAATAAACAAGAATAATTGATGATGACCGAAAAGGATCGTTGGATCTGTTATACAATAAGGCTTGTATTAATTAATGAGCAGCCGACACAGCAAAGTATAAAGTAGGGAGCACCAAGAGAAGTTATACTGTGTCCTTTGTACAGATGCAGCAAAGCCTATATAGACCAGGCTGTGGGACGCTGGGATGCGACGTTCTCCCTTCACATGATCAGAGCTGTTTGTGCAACAGGCAGCGGTCTGTTTCCTTTAGTGGAGCTTGTGGTGCCATGTGAACATGCAGTAGACAAGGCGTACGATTGAAGGAAGCTATACACTGATTCAGCAAATGCCCCGAAGCTGACTGTGCCGCTCAGTGAAAGCTAGCTCAGGAGGTAAAAGATTCACTTTTTCCATGAACTGCTTTGGTGACCCAGTTTTTTTTTAAATGTATTTAGCGTTTTAAATAACTGTAACAAGCTTGATGTTTCACAAAAGCAATAATTATTGAGAAACTCTGCCTTCGCTGGACTCCTCTTGGCAGTGCTTCACTTTCCCAAGGAAGTCATGTTGTGACTCAAGGTTTCTGCACTTACATCAGTTCCTCTCTGGTAATTTCCTTGCCTGCAGCCTTATATGGACTTTCACATCACGGTCTAGCTGTTCTCCTCCCTGCTTTCCCCCTAGCGTGGTCCCTCAGATGCCATGCTCCACTTTAGATTGCATTACAGCAGTGCAACAAGTTGAGGGTTTACTTTAGGTCTGTGTTTATCAGTCTCAGATGTGTTCTTTTATTTTATATTAGTTTAGAGCATGTGGATGTTGGCGTGAATTATAGTTGTGGCTTATTATCTGCTTTATTAAAGAACTACCCACAATTTACATAAAACTATATTTTAGATGGACCACATTTTTGTCAAGCACTAAATAAACACATAAACACAAAATCCTATTCTCTTGGGTTTTATTTCTAAAATCTGACCCTATGTTGTAACAGAAAGATGGGCCCTAACCACAGCAGCAGTTTGCTGTTATTTTCCTCCTTGTTGTTTGAACAATAGAACCATTTGACAGTGCTAATACAGCAGGCAACTGGTGAATAATCATATTAACACCTTTTTATACACAAACACAGAAACAGCCTACCATTATCACACAAAACTTGAGCACAACTTACCATTTTAGTCCATTCTGTAGAAATAATTACAGATGCAGTTTTCTTGTTAGGAGGACCAGACCTTTAACAAGGGTGGCAATGGAGAAATGGTAAATGGAAAGACCCAGAGGTATGCAAGCAGGGGATTAAAAGAGTGTGTAGTGCACATAGCAGAGCAGATTAACAGTGTGTAGAGGTAGAGCTGTTAGACCAACTACAATCAAAACTTGTGGGGTTTTTTTGCACAAATAGCTTGTTCAGTGTTCTCTGTTTGGAGGCTGTGAGGAAATCAAACTTCGGAAAGTAAGTTCTTTGTTGTTATTTATTTATCATTTTATATACTTATAAATCAGCAGTTGTTTTGTCTATTTCTTTGTTCATCTTAAATACTTTCTGTTTAAATCATCTAATATTCTGTATAGGATATAAACTACCATTGCAGACATTAAAGTATTGTTACAATTAGATGTTACAGTGACATTAGGGATGAATAAATCATTATTATTTGGCCCTCATTATGCTGAAAGTTTCCAGTACAACCTTAAAGCCTCAAACTGTGTACATAATAATTAAACAGAGTACGCAAAGCACTACTGCGAGCATTAGTCAACACAATACTGCAGACTGCAAACAGAGTAGCTGGTGGTTTGTATTAGGGGATGTCTTGTGTTTTTGTGGTGAACGTTGTGTCCTGCTCTGGATCTGCTGAGGATCCAGAGTCCCTGCTCACAGCTACATCTACTGATTATTAATGGTTAGATACAAGGGGAACAAATCAGTTGTAGGCATATTAAAAATGCTTTCGCAAAAAGTCTGGTGAAGCAAATTCATTACTGCACACCAAACCAATGTCAGTGTCAGCAGTGGGTGTTATACTGATGGACTCAACTATGCTGTAAACATGGATTTAGGTCTATAAAAATGTACATTGGAGAACATAGTTAAAGCATCTCCCTCCATGTTGCTGCCTAATCTTTTTATTGGGTCTACATAACAGTATTTGAACCCAAAAGCAGACTTGGCAGACTAAACCAGTGGGGATAAAACAGTCCTTACTTGGTCAGTAGGAGGCTTATAGTTGGCAGCATGATGGCACAGTTAGCCAGCAAATGCAGGGGTCAAAAGGAAGGCAATGTGTCACCAGTATAAAGGCACAAGTGCTTGAAAGCTCAGGCTACACAGTCAGTTTGGCAAGGAGTAGTAGCACCGAACTGATAAAATAGCAGGGCTCATGGGGTGGGACAGGTGTGTAAGATGGTGACAAAAACCAAAAAATGGACGTAGATGATTGAGGAGGTCGTAGCAGCCGTCTCTGCCACAATGGCTGTCTGTTCACTAAAAACAACAAGCAGGAGAGTTGATTATGCTTGTAGTGATGTTTGATTATTTTAATAAGAAGTGGTCGTGGGAAGCAGTTGGAAGAGACCCTTTCTGCCCTCGTGCGTTCTGTCCCCTGCTTGGAAAGAAAGCTCATCCTCTTCTCCCTCGTCCCTCTTCCTGTCACCCAGTGTGTTCTGCTCAGCCACAGGCTTCCTTCAGCGTAATGCAAAGAGGCATCCAGCACACAGCCACAGGCTAATCTGAATAGCAGACAGGATGGACAGTTGAGGATTCCTTTCCAGTGGTGTTCCTGCAGACAAGTGGTTTTATCTGTAGCAGACCTCAAACTAGAAACCCAGACTTCTGAAATGAGATTACTAGCTTATTGATACTGTCCTGTTGGCTCCCTGCTAACTCAGTAACGTTTGTATATTAACTTCAGAGGATACAAACATGCTTGTTGTGTTGCTCACAAGTCTTTTCACATGATTTCCCTTGTATTATTGGCTTCCAGCGATATCATAGCGAGGCTGTTGTGCAGCTCCTCACACAGGGTAGGTCATCGCCGTCACATTTTCACACTTCATGTCAGCTTTGCATTTTGGAAAGCGTTGACTGCGCTCTGTTGGCAGTGACGTGGTTAGATCGTAGATTGTGCATTCTAGTCTAACTCTACCACCTGACTGGATTCAATCTGACCCTTTATTTCTCTTGTCTCTCAAGTAGATCATATTTTTGAGGCCTCTGACGTGTGCGGTTTGTCTTTAAGATTAGCTGCGGTAGGGGTAGGTGGTTGCTTTGGTTACAGTGGGGGGGTCCATTGTTAAAGAGTTGTTGCCCTTAATAGCCGCTGACCTTGTGTGGCTCTTACGGATGGCATGACTCAGGTTTAGCAGCGTCGTATGTGTAGGTAGCTTTATTGGATGTGTTGGGGACCGTCCTGCTCTTCAATCATGGTGCTCTGTCACTCTCAAGTAGTGTTATCCACATGCAGAAGGACACTGGTGGTCAACATTTTTGTTCCCTCCTGCTCCTAAAACCACTTAGTGGTATCTGCTCTGTTGTCTCGGCTTTGGTTGGAAAGATTGTGATTGTGAGCAGCCCACTGAGATAACACCAGTGTGGGAATGTAAGGGTGGTGGCTAAATGCAGGGGCATCATGGATTCCTAGGGAATAATTATACATGTAATGTCTCTGTCAAATGGTTTCGGTGATTTTTTTTTTAAAATTTTTGTATATAAAGAGGATGTTCCGAGTATCTAATGTGTGATCAAAGTCTCGGTGGAGAAAAAAGGAAGGATGGGACAATATACTGCATTGTTATAGTATCACAATAAAAAACTTTTTTTATCATTTGAATTATCAGGATAATTGGGAATATCCGGGGATATGAGTGACTTGCAAGGACTGTCTAGCTCACTAATGTAGTCTGTCTTGATTTTCGGATTTATTGCCACAAAGGGGGAGATACAGCTTCCCAGTCTTTCCAAAATCCAGAGCCAGTCACCACTGTCTCCCCCACAAAACAATGTTCAATCTGTTGACTGGAAATGCTACTTCAAACTAACAACAACAGGCAGATGAGGTGCCTATCTATGAGTCTGTGAATATAATACAAATATTTGTTTCTTAACTAAATCTAAGGTAAAGTGATCCCTGTATGTATATTTTGATGATATATGCATATAATATTGTGAATCACAATTATTTGGGCCATGAAGTCATGATATGACAGTTTCACATCGTCCCAAGCCTACAAAGAAGTACACTAGATTGTAGCTCCATCACTCTGAGCTATGGGCTGTACTGCACCTTCAAATCACACCTTTTCTTTGTGTCAGTAGTTTCACTTCCTCTTTCTGACAAGTCAACCTGGTAGTTTCCCAGAGTTCACTTTTTGGTTAACTTCTGCATATGGTTCTTAATGGCCATGTAATTATACGTGTATCTTATAATAATCACTTCCTACAAATGAAGGTGGGGTTGTTGTTTTTTTTTGTCCCAATGTCCTAATGCAGCTTTCTGTATTCTGTCAGTCACACAGCGCTTTACGGTTCCTGTTTTAGCCTGTGGGCCAGTTAAGTTTATCATGTAGAGTTTGCAGCGTTGCAACTTAAAACCAACAAAGAAAACTGACTGAGCTGGAGTTAAGATGATCGTAAGATGTAACTTACTGGGCCAATTTGTAATCTATATGGATTTCCAGCCCCGGTAGCAGCATGGCTCTGAATGCAGTTGGTGAATGAGGTCAGTCTGTCAGTCCACCACTTTGGTTCAGACTCCACTGTGGGATGGATTGTAATGACATTTGGTACAGACATTCATCTTCCCCACATTTTCATCTAGCGTCATCATCATCAGATCAAAACTTCCATTTTTCAATCTATCATTTGGTATGATATACTCTATTATTAAATAACCAGTAGTCAGTATACTTTTATACCACAATGTTTATATTCTGTGATTTAATATCAATAATTAGGTTTCCATTGGACTTTGCATGAAACATTTCCTTGAGAACGTCATTTTTTATGAAGTGATGAGCTGGTCTGATAAATCTAAGGGCATGAGACCTTTATGACTCCCCTGTGGCCAATAATAGGATTAGGACACAGCTGTACGAGTAAGAATAAAGCAAATGGAGATATTAAAAATAACACAGTCTTTCTCAGTTTCAGACAGTCAGTCAAGCAGGGGATTCTTGAAGAAAGCATTCAACGAGCCAGTAACTTGTTAAAAGAAATCTGAAATGTCAAACACAACCCCGTCACTAAATTGGACTCTGGATATACTTCTAAATGTGTAGCCTGTTGAAAGCTGAAAGTTGGAGTACAGTTTTGGTGTGATAAAAACAGAAGATGTGGGCCTGAGAGGGGTGTTTTTTTGTGCATGTGCTAATAATAGCGTGGTGAGTGTTTTTGACTTGTGGCCATGAGAGACACACCCTAACCAGGCAGAAAATGTATGAGTGTAGTTCCTTTTTCATGCAACACTAGCCATTCTGACTCAGGAAATGACACCACTTAAACCCCAGCAGGGTGGTCATGAACTGAACTCTTGTCTGCACTAATGAAAAAATGTGCATCAGAGTTCATGATAGTGAGTTTAAAGAGTGGCATGTCTGGCTGGCTTTAGGCATGAGGCCCAGATTGTTTCACTACAACTCTAGCTGCTGGTGACGACAGGAATTGACAAGAGAGGCAAGTGTCCTGAGCAGTAAATGGGGTCCTGCTGACATGAATGTGAAAGAACGCAACTCTAATCGGCCCCACAACTGGGAAATAATGCATACCATTGTTGTTGAGGGCAGGCGTGGGCCTCAGCCTGCACAGTTATTTCCCAATAGACATGCATGCTGCTGTTTCCGTCATCTCTACGAGGACAGAGAAAATGAGAAATGCCTACATGGTCAGTTTACAAAGCACAGAATCAATTTATTGTTTGCGCGACCTCGTTGAGGGGCACTTTAAGGTTAAATAAATGTGCTCAACTTTCGACATCATTTCGTAGTCCTTAAACATTTCAGGTCACTTAAATCAGAGGTTAAACAACCAGCTGTAGCAGAATGTGTTCCCCCGAAGAAGATAAGCGTATTTTACAAAGTCTGCTCTTGTGACGGCGGACGGTTTGGCAGAAAGCAGACAGGTTGCTTGATACATGACAGGATGTAGGCGACTCTCATGGGCGCTTAGTATTTAGCAGCCGTACCTCACGAGGCCTAGCCACCAGAGGATGTGGTTACTTCCTGTAGATAAGTTCTATACTGAGGCAGAGCCATTTGTTGCACGCGTTGTGGGAGACATGATCTTTTATGAATTCTGTATATATCAAAATATCATTTTTCTTGTTATGATGATGCTTTGATTGGCTGATTGTCCACAGTAGGCCTGATTGGACAATGTGTCCTAAAGGTTGTGGGTGCACCTTTGTTGCTTGTGCACAGCAAGCATTTATTCAAAACCTTCTCAACCGCTTCATTTCAAATCAGCCAATGAACTACTGAATATAGAAGTACATGTCATTTTATCAAACCTAAATTTACTTGATGCGTAGTATTACCACTGGGGGGGGCCAAATTCTTCTTCTTTCACAGAATGACATTTCAGAGTGTATTGTTGCAGTTTGGAACAACTTTCTTATGCCAACTGTGTATATGTGGAGAATCAATGTGCTAAATGCTAAAAGGCCACCATAAAACAAAATTCATGGATCGATCAGTACATTTTGTCAGCTCAAAGATGTAAACGCGACGCAATATCTGTGAGACACTACAGTCAGTAATCTCCTGATCTTGCCAAGAATAATAATGAAGCACTCATTTTACCAAGAAACTGGGTGCTGGTTGTATGTAAGATGCATTCACTGTATCCAAAATGCAGTCTGTGTCTACATAGATTTTAAAAATCACTTATTCTTCCATTTTGCTCTCTTCCTCAGATTAGTGTGAGAGTCACCACAATGGATGCTGAACTGGAGTTCGCCATTCAGCCAAACACGACTGGAAAGCAACTCTTTGACCAGGTAGGAGACACTTCTAAATGGTAACCAGTGTCATGCGCTTTGTATTGACAGGTAAAAACGTTTGAATTAAACTTAATTTGGAAGCATGAGTTCTGGATTTTGTTTGTATTTGTGTATGATATTCTTATACAGAATAATACAAAATATGTATAGGATAAGGAAGATACACTTACTTTTAAAATTTATTTATGTATGCTTTTATTTTTGTCACATGCAGTGTTATGAGGTTCTTGGTCTCTACAGGTCTTAAAATTCTTTGTTGTTTTTGTGTTTGATGTTTGTCAGCGTGACAGCAACAAACACAGCACCTGTTGTCTGTGGTTTGCTATAGAGACTTTTTATAGAACGTGGTTTGCTAATGTTCTGGCGAGGAGACACATTAATAATATTTCTGCTTTCATGTTTTAAGGTTGTTAAGACCATTGGGCTGCGGGAGGTTTGGTACTTTGGACTCCAGTACCAGGATACAAAGGGTTTCTCTACATGGCTCAAGCTCAATAAGAAGGTGAGCTCTTCAGTACTTTGTCTAATCTCTAACACACTGTTTTGCCCTTCTTTGTCCAGATTTAACTACTCTGTTGAACCCAAGTCCGTTTACAGAAATGCAACCCCTACCCATCACTCGTGTCACGTTTTATTTTAGGTGACAGCCCAGGATGTGAGGAAGGAAAGCCCGCTGCTGTTTAAGTTCCGTGCCAAATTCTTCCCTGAGGATGTGACAGAGGAGTTAATCCAGGATGCCACACAGCGGCTGTTCTTCCTGCAGGTGAAGGAGGGAATCTTAAATGACGACATCTACTGCCCTCCAGAGACAGCAGTCCTCCTGGCCTCCTACGCAGTGCAGGCCAAATATGCCGACTACAACAAGGAAGTCCACACACCAGGCTATCTGTCCAGTGAACAGCTTCTCCCTCAGAGGTGACACAGGTTTCATCACCAATTCAATCTGGCAGCCAATGTCAGATAAATGTGTTTGTTCATGTTTCTCTGCATGACTTCTGACACTCGGATGTCTCGTGTTCTCAGAGTTCTAGACCAGCACAAACTCAATAAGGACCAGTGGGAGGAGAGGATTCAAGTGTGGCACGAAGAGCACAAGGGCATGATGAGGTAACCACTGACACACACATGCACTTTATATATCAAATATACCGAATATCTAGAGGATATTTCACACGTTTACTTATCCCCAAATACTGACTGAAATATGTTTAATTTAAGAGGTTATTGTGCCACAGTTACATTGGTTTCTACCTGACTGGAAACTCTGCAAACAACACATCCCTGGGACATGCCACTTTGAGCTCAGTGTTGTCTAATTAGGTCTGTGTGGTGATCAGGGTTGGGCAAAGTGTAGACTGCCCTGCTCAGGATTCAGAGCTCCATTCATTTAGGCTTTTGTGCTTTTAATCAGTGTCTCTAAAGCAGCACTAGCTAAAGCCAGTCTTATTTGTCCTCAGAGAGGAATCCATGATGGAGTATCTGAAGATCGCTCAAGATCTCGAGATGTACGGAGTCAACTACTTCAGCATCAAGAATAAGAAAGGAACAGAATTGTGGTTGGGAGTGGATGCTTTGGGCCTCAACATTTATGAACAGAATGACAAGTAAGTGATTCCAAAACAACGTAATAGTTGAAGTTACCATGAATGCAAATGTTCAGCCTAACTAGGGTTTATTATCATTACTAATACTAATAATATTACCTGTCCAATGTAATGCAGCTGACCCAGTGTTTTGTTTTTGCATTGTCTTTAACAGAATGACGCCCAAAATTGGATTTCCTTGGAGTGAAATCAGGAACATTTCCTTCAATGACAAGAAGTTTGTCATCAAACCAATTGACAAGAAAGCACCCGTATGTTAGCCCTTAATAACAGACCACTTGTTAACGATTGATAAATGTATGTATCACTACTTATAAAACCCTGTGACGTTGCCATTTTAGGACTTTGTCTTCTATGCTCCGAGACTACGCATCAACAAGCGCATTCTGGCTCTTTGCATGGGCAACCATGAGCTGTATATGCGCCGTCGCAAACCTGACACCATTGAAGTGCAGCAGATGAAGGCTCAGGCTCGGGAGGAGAAGAACCACAAGAAGATGGAGAGGTGAGAGTCACAAGCTGTTGCCAGAGAATCATTTTGCACGTAGATTAGATTGTGACTTCTGATGTTTGAAATCCCGTCGTAAAAATGTAAGAAAAGGCCCAGGTTTGCTCTTAGGGTGTCTTGGTATAGACATTTTAATGCATACACAGATGCCCTGCATTATAAGTGGGGGTTATGTGTGATTTTTACACAGAGGTGTGTAAACTAGTATTCCTTTTAAATACGCTGTGTATAGTACTAATTATGAAAGATCCTGATTACTGTATCATCCAATACATGTCGTACCTTGTTCCTATTTCCATTAGAGCTCTGCTGGAGAATGAAAAGAGGAAAAGAGAAGTTGCAGAAAAGGAAAAGGAAAAGATTGAAAAGGAAAAGGAGGAATTAATGGAGAGATTAAAGCAGATTGAGGAGCAGACGAAAAAAGCCCAACAAGGTTGGTGACCTGTCAGTATCCAAGAAAAGCTTCTACGTCGTACTGTAAAGAACGGTGATGTTTACCATCAGTGCTTTTCTGTGTGTGTGACTGTGTGTCTGCACAGAGCTGGAGGATCAAACACAGAGGGCTCTGGAGTTGGAGCAGGAAAGGAAGAGAGCTAAGGAGGAGGCTGAACGCCTGGAGCTTGAGCTGAGGGGCGCTGAGGACTCCAAGGTGGCACTGCTGCATCAGTCAGAGAACCAGATGAAGAACCAAGAACACCTGGTCAGTCCTTAGCAACTATTTGTCTATTCATTAGCTTTGAAGCTAGAAAATGTGTGTGAAATGTTGTGTTCTCATGTTTCAAATATCAAGAAAGTCTAAAAGAAAATGTTGTCCTTTTAGGCCACGGAGTTGGCTGATCTGACTTCGAAGATTTCCCTCCTGGAGGATGCCAAGAAGAAAAAGGAAGAAGAGGCAGTGCAGTGGCAACAGAAGGTATGGTCTGAGTTACTACTTTTTTATAATAACCCCATCAACTTCTTCCTTTGATTGCAGCAACCTTAGAGCTGATGACATGAAAAGAAAGTGTTTGTTTCCTGCTCATCATCAAAAAGATTCATAATAGTTGCATTCACAGCAGCCTCGATATTCAGCTTAGATACACAGTTAGACAGCTATATGTTAGACCTTCAGTTGACATTACGGCCATCACATGAGGAGTGAGACAGATAGCCAGGTTACTAATGATTCTCAGGTTAAATCTCTCGCTTTCTGTAGAGCAGTGATTTTCTCATGAATTCCATGTTTAAACTGAGGGGAACACTACTTGGTAGTAGCAATAACTGGTGCTACGCTCACTTTTTTGCCTGGGAAGTCATATGACAACATGAATACAAGTTAATGGCTGTGTCATGTGATTATCTATATCTGCATTCAAAATGTGCTTCATAACTGGGTTCACCATTAAACATCATTTCTGTCTGATGGTCTGCTGATCACATAGCCCCTCCCCTGTGACGCAGTGAGGACAGACATTCCCAGGGTCTTGTTGTTGTGTGTTTTTTGGGGGAGGGGTGAAAGCCCACAGCTCGCCTCATGTCCTTTTTGGTTAAATAGCATGTGTGTGTCAGCCCAGCCCCTTCATTAATGGGCAGCGTGACTCATTCTGTCTGTGTTGGTGGCGGCTGTCTTTGTGTGAAGGAAATCCTGTTTAACTCTTTTGAATGATGAAGATATTCTGGTGAGACCGCTGTGCTAAGTGGTAGTTTCCATGTTGTGCATTTTTGGCAAACATTCAGAGGAAATTTCAGTCTTACTCATAATTGGCTCTTATTCCTCGTAGCACAAGCACTCTGGCTTATACTGTATTATTTACTGTGATATATAAATGTCTGTACATTTATATTTACTCTCTCCAGTGTATTTAGACATAATATAAGAAATAATGAAGTAGTAGAGAAAATAAAACAGGGAAACAATGTAGAGAAAACACAGAACGATACAACTCTCCTTTTCTAAGTGAGTCTCAGTTGGCACAACAGTTACTTTTTTACTTTCTCTTTCTCACTGTCTTTAATTCCTGTTCTGGTATGTAGTGCAAGTTATCATCTAATGCCCTATGTCTGAATAGGGTTGTTATTAATGTATTTAATAGATTGTTTAAATTCATTTTAGTGTCCAAAATAACATAAACTGTGTTGCACAGCCAGCAGAGTAGAGCTGAAATGATGAGTCAGTTAATCTTCAGTTCAGTCGCTGACTTTTCCTCTAGCGCCACCAAGACGGCGACATTTACGGCTTGTGAATGTCATAACTCATAACTTAACCTTCCATCTGGCGCCATCATCAGGTCAAACTTTCAATTTGTGCAGTGCTTTGGTTGATAACCAAATCCCAGCAAAACTAGTGACATGCCCATTAGCCTCATCTTTACATTGAACCATTACACATTACATGTTGGCATCCTGACATCAGCATTGAGCTCTAAGCACCACTGTGCCCCCGTACAGACTCCCAGACGTGTGTATTGCCAGAGGAGAACTAGTACTTTTTCTTTTTAAACCTATTGTGAGTTTTTTGGACATTGAATACATTTCTATCCATTGAATCTTTATCTTATCTTAACAAGCAGGTAGTCGTGACTCCAGCGGGCCCTGTAAATATTAACGCCTCATGTCATTGGCATTCTCCATTCCCTCAGGCTACCATGGTGCAGGAGGACCTGGAAAAGACCAAAGAAGAGCTCAAAAACAAAGTGATGGCAGCTCACGTTCAGGAGCCCCTCAACGCAGAGAATGAGCACGACGAGAACGACGAGAGCAGCGCCGAGGCCAGCGCCGAGTTTACGGCTGCCGCCACCTACAAGGACCGCAGTGAAGAGGAGCGCATGACTGAGGCTGAGAAGAACGAACGTTTGCAGAAACATCTACTTGTAAGTCTTCTCACATCTCATATGTACTGTAATATACAATATAGATTTGATTAGTCAATAAATAATTGGATTGATAGACCAGTCTGAGTCCCTGAAGGTGAATCTATCACTTCTTAGGAACAGATGATTTAGAGAAGGACTTTTACATGTTAAGCAGATGTGTTCAGTGCAAAAATAATCGTGAATCACAAAAATGTTCAGGGGTAAGAATGAGTCTCATGTTCATAACAACATAATGCTGTGAGATGTATTAATACTGTGATGACTGTATTTCCAGGCTTTAAGCTCAGAGTTGGCCAACGCTCGGGATGAGACCAAGAAAACAGTGAATGACATGATCCACGCAGAGAACATGAAGGCAGGACGAGACAAGTACAAGACCCTTAGGCAGATCCGGTCAGGAAACACCAAACAGCGCATCGATGAGTTCGAATGCATGTGATGTCTGCATCCACCAATGCAAAAGCCCACGCAGTTGGGCCAGTCTGCCTGGACTGCAGTCCTGCCTCACTCAAGCTGTTTCCTCTGTACCCAAATATATCAGATCCACAAGCACAGCACAATGTACAAATATGGATCTGGAAAACTCCCATTTGTTATCATTCCTAACTTTGAATTTAGGCAAGTCACTGGTTGAAAAGGGACATACTGTATTTTATTAGTACATTCCTCATGAGGGGTTTATGTAGCATATTAGTATTGGGCTCACGCCTCATTTCATGACACATTGAGTAAGCATTTTTCATTTCTTTATGTTTTTGTCACATTTTTAGATCATGATTTCAAAATCAAAGGCTCAGAGACCAATCCAAATTTCAGTTTGCCTGTAGATATATTTCTGCTGTACACGCAACGGTTCCTCACAGCAAGCTGCATCTTTCAGACAGTGACGTTTCTCTAATTATCTGTTGCCCATAGTTTTAAAGCCAAATGCACTGTAATCTACATAAGCAAATACATATGAGGACCCTGAAGTGTCTGTGTGGAGCGTTAATAGAGCAGTATTATTTTTGTAAATGTACGATTTTTTTGCTTTTTATTTGACTGTATTCAGAACCAGCCAACTGTACATTACAAATCAGAATCAGTATTTACACCTCAGTTACAGGGTGATATGAAAGATCAATTTCATGTAGATGTTTTGTACACCTTCAAATCAGTTTGCTACTAAGGCTTTAGTATAAACGTTGCTGTTAAGGCTGAAACAAATGACTTTCTTTTTAAATCTACATAGAAACATCCTGAATTGTAAACTATGAATGAACTTGATATACTCTTAAGTCCTCAAAGAATAAAAGTAGCATTTTGAAAATTATGCAAATCTGGTGTCTGAGAAGCATTTTAATAACTAGCTAGACATTTTTAGCCTACATACACTGAATTAGTAAGGTTGAAATTGTATCTGCAAAATCAAAAGAAAATGCTGTATTGTTAGTGTCATCATTATTCAATTAAAAGACTGACAGGACATCTGAGGTTGGTTTTTGAAGTTTTATTCCTCTGCTTTTAATTTTTAACTCTGATCATCAGTGATGCTGTCATTTGATAATCACATACAGTTGTTTTTTCTCTTGGTTTTTAGCATTGATATAACCAGTACAGCACAAGGACTTACACTGTAATTCTCACATGTCAAGTTGGCTTTTGTTGGTGAACAAAGGCCGATAAATTCATCTGTAAAGGTAGAAGTTGTAGTTTAATCTTAAATGCTCCATTGTCACCGCAAAATCTACATAGAACCTGATGCATAAAATAAAATAATTTAATTAAACATGCACTGGAAAACCACAGCGTTTGCAAAATGAGTCCAAACATTTACTGTCCTCAATGGGCACCGTTTCCAATGCATGCATTTTTGATATACTGTATGTATTTAAAGACATTTGTGTATTTTGTAATTTGGATTTTTCCGATGTGATACAATTATGTAAGGTGAAGGATAGACACCGCTTAGGATATTTTTGTATAATAAAATCTAGAAGTACTTGTCAAAGATAACAGTTTTTGTTCAGAAAGAACAACATTTTTAAAATAGTGTTTTGTTGTAAACTAATTGAACAGCTCACTGCTGTGATAGTAGGCTGATGGAACAAGCAACACCCCAAAGCCTGTGATAGGACCAATGAAAAGCCAGACCACAGGAAATTCTGTTCATCTTAAACTGCTAAAAACTAGCAATATACCAGGCCAAAAGATTTTTGCATAAAAATAAACATAACGTACGTTCTTGTGCCATCATTCCAGATTACTTTTTCCATTCAGACATGCGAAGGGTTTTGCTTGTTCTCAGATATTTTGAAAGATTTATTTACACTATTTTGCAAGTTCAAAGTAAATGTATTTTAGTGATACATATTTCTTTCTATTTTATTTTGATTTCTGTTATTGAATGATCGTTTGTACCAAGATTTTGATATACAGTATTCTTGCCCGTTGCTGCCTAGAGTTCTTGTATTTGCCATGAAAGATAAAAATGCAGTTGTTGCTATTTTGGTTACCTTTACATGCCTTTGACAATACCTTTTCTAATGCTGCACTGTATGTTCTACCTGAAGCACCATGTATTGACAGCCTTCTTTTAAGAAACAAGTGTAATTTGAACTCAAGTCATCATGTGTGAAAAAGAAATTTATTAAAAGATGCTACTCAATATTTTGTCTTGAATCAAAAAGGACTGAAATGCAATTGTGTAATTTGACAGACAGTGCCTTGGCCAGGTTTTTCATCAGATCTCGCTGCTTCAGGTCTTCCTTTCACCAATGAATAAAAAACAGATTAAACCGTATTTAAATTTCTTGTCAGTTTCTGTATTTCACAACTACTGTTACTATAACTACTGCTGCTACGGTTCCTGCAATAACTAAAGTGTAAAAATCAGTTTATCTTTGCTTACAAGCAATTCATTAATATGTTGACAACATTTCTACAGTACACTACAGTGATCATACTCATCACATTAAGTTTTGGCCAATGATTAAGCTGTAATCCAAGTGACCGTCTGTAGCTGCAGTCTCTCAATGAGCCACATGGTGGCAGTTTACACTCAGTCTGCAGTGAGGGTGACATGGCAACAATGAACAATGAAAGACAGTTTATTCACCTCAATGAAGATGTGTGGATTGTCATAAGTATAAAGGTTATGTTAATGAATAGTAAATATATCTGTGCCTACTATGTTTACAGATTTAAAGAAATGTGACTGTGAGCCATTTCCTTTATTTTACCAAAGCAAGTTCTAGAAAACTTCAAAAAGTTGAGTAGAAAACTGAAAATAAAACATGGCTATACAGGACATCCAAAGTGAGTGTCTGCGTGGTCAGACACTCACTAAGTATTTAAAAAATTTTCAAATTATTTTTCTGCACACATTTTAAAGTGGTGAACAGTATGCACTGAAACAGATCCCATAGTTGGTTTGTTTCCTCTTGGAAGCGTTTAGGGTTTAGACTCAAAACTTAAATATATAATAAACTCAATGATTGACAGGCAAGCACATAAGAAACTTTCTGTTTGATTTGCAATTTAAAACCTATGACTCTGTGTGCAGAGGTTGACAGCTTCTGGCTTTTCTATTGACACAGGCGCACATTTCCAGTCACAACCCTGTGCCACAGCTTAGAAACCTTTTCACAGAGTTTCGTTATTAGTGTTAAATGAGTAAGAACTGAAAATAACATATATATATATATATAAATATATACTACAGTATGTGGACAGCACTTCTCTTTTCTACCTGTGGCAGCTAAATATCATACATCATTAAGTCAATTAGTCTTCATTAGCTAAATATGTTTTTTACCAAATAAGTTAAGGTAGTCATACACATTTCCAGCTATTTTTGCAACAGGAAGTTCAGTTAATTCTTGTTAAACAAATTGATGAAAATCAACCATCTCTTTCTCAACACCAAAGGGAGGTGTTGTTTTTTCATCTCCCACTTCCCCTATATGTGTGGTACTGGTGGCCTGAAAAGGGTGTTGAAATGGTTCACACTCTGAACTGCCATTTAGAGATAAGCTGCCATGAGTCTCTCTGTATGAACAAAAGTCATCGTACATACTTCAGTGTCACATACTGTGAGAAACTTTAAATATCTTTTCTTGCTTCAGTCATATTCAGGTTCTCAGAGGGTAGGGGGTTGTCTAATTAGTTCACAGCATAGAAAATGTACAGCTGTGTACATCTGTGTGTACGTTGCTAAATTCATTTTATTCACAGATTGTAAGTGTGTATAAATACACTACTATACTATACTATACTATACCTAACCTAAAGGTTTAAGGAACATTTGCTTCACGTTACAGATGTAGGTATGTGCATTTACTACGAGTCATGTGATGCTATATGTTGTAGGTCTTAGCATGTAGTAAAGGTGCAGAGCTGTGTCAGGGTACTGGATGAGGGCATTTGGACAAGAATCTCTGTAAAGTTGGGTCATAGATGCTTTCAAAGTGCATGGTGGAGATGGAAAGTGATGATGCATCATACAGTTATTATATCATACTGCACTCCCTACTAAAGCTGTAGTGGGAGTTGTTGCCTAAGATCAAGTTCAGTGTAAGTCTTTTTTCCCCCTATTAGCTTCTCCAAGTTATCCCAGCCGGCCTCTTTTTTTCCTCCCCTGTTTCCTGCTGAAAAGAGATTGGAGGAACATTTTGATTAGGCTCGTATATATAATGTTTTAAGGTTCAGCCACTTTGCTTATTAAGGAAGCTCAACATGCAGTACAGTTGTAGCTGTAGAGGGAAGAGAAGTAGTGATTCACGGTGCATTGGTCTAGAGTAACATGAGGAAGTTACACAGCGCCATGCTTAGTACATTCTGGTCGTTGCAAAAACATGTGGGTAATGCTAAATAGAATTGCAATAAGAAGTGACAGTAATACCTTCCAGACGTTCCAGACATTATGAACATTTTTATTTTAAATTGGTTATGTTTGTTGACAGGAAGTTGTTGGGTGCTCTCCATGGGAGGGCATTTGGAACAGCTGGTAGTCTTTTTCTTTGGCCTGACCCTTGTTTTGCACGTGAGGGGGATCAAACAGACTCATAGACCACCAATCAGCAGTGAAGACTAAACACTGATGCTTGTCCTTGAAGTGGAAGGGCGCAGATGATGGCCAGTGATGGCTAATAGAGCAAAAGTGGAGAGAAATACAAAAATACATTGTCATTAATGACACTGTCACACTGTATCAGGAACAGTGCGATAAAGACTAACAAAAGAGACAATGGTACTTAATTTCATCTAAAAGTTTTAACACCTTTATCAAGTAAACCTAAACTTACTTAAAATATAAAGATATATATATATATATATATATATATATATGCTGCACTGACTGATCTGAAATTGTTATTGATACAATAAAGTTGCTACTTGTTTGATTCTTATTATTATAAACCTATATAAATACAGTTCCATAAGCACTTTCTGAGCACAATAGTGAGAATGCATGAATGCCACAAAACTGTCGAATATGTCTCAGCAAAAACCATTATCTCAAAAGCTGTGCGCCACGAAAGCCTTCAACAGCATTTCACAACCATGACATGTTGACACTTTATTTCCACATATTTCCTGAGAGCTAGCTTTGCAGTTATCTTCCTTGTTTTGACTTCCTCTTTGCAGCGCTGAAGCTCAGTGGTCAAACGAATTGTCTTGTGCACAGTGTCATCATTGTGAACTCTTGTGAGGGAAAGAGGAGTGTTGCTCTCGGACTCATCTGCCTCAACATCAACAGATCTGAACACCCAGGTAACCGATTGGTATCCAATCTAATATAACCTCATTTAAAATGCTGTGTACAGAAACAATCTCTTTATGTAAAAATGGAAATATGTGCATTTTTAGGTCTTTGAAAATGTTTGGTTGGAGTGCTACATGTTGTCTTATTCATTTATTCTACAGAGCCATCTTTTTACAAGATCAGGCCCCCCACTTAGTGTATTTGACAAGCTGAGTTTGACACTCTGTATCAGTGAGTGTCAGTTTGTCAAATACCCCAAGTGAGGTGTCACTTGTCTACAGATTTAACCCTTACTGGGTCACGCCACAGACTGAGCAGGCAACTCTACTGGGTGATCTACCACACCAAGGAAACTGAAAACATCAAGGCAACAAAAGCAAAAGCTTTTCTTGTAAATGTTTTGAGGATATGGACAAGGAACAACGTTTACAGTGGTTAAAGTGGTAGTGCTGAAGATGCACAAATGCTTAACTGTCAGTTATTTAGTAAATCAAATGCAAAATTACTCTCATATTATTGTTTTAATGAACAGAAAGAATAATTCTATCCCATGAGAATCTAAATATGTGTAAAAGATGCCTCATTAAAGGCCTTATAGAGATGTTTGAAAAAATAGAGGTATGTTAAAAGGTTTATTGACCAAAGAGAAGCCTATCCTTCCCTTTTCAGTTTTTTTATAGGCTTACAGCACAGTCACTCACACAGCTCAGCAAAACATGCCACGTTTTAAGGCTGCTCTGATTCCATCGTTTGGTATGTTCTCGCATCATTTCTATTTTTTATTTTGACACAATTTGAACTCGGAGGGTTAGAGAGGTTAAAATAAGCTTTTGCAAAGTATTCTTAAAACCCATGAAAATGACCTGTCATATACAATGAGCTTTTGCTGGAGATGCAAATGAGATAAAATGAAAAGGCTAAATCATATTATGTGTATTTTCTTGTGTACAAGCAAAACCATGTAAAGACTAAAGGGATGAATAGTTTTTATAAGACTGCACATCTGCTAAGTTTTTAGGTGCTTGCGTCATGTCTTCCATTCAATACTTTGCGAAGCCCTGATGAAAGTGTACTCCATCTTTGCAGGATGTGGGACTGGTTTTCTTTTAATTGTTGTTTTCGTTTTCATTGTCAAAGTAAAAATCTGACTCAGACTTAGTCGAGATACAGAGATGAAGAGAATAAAAGCAAAATATACAGTGACCCTGGAATTTAGGCCCTATGTGTGATAACATGATCTGCCAATATGCATCAACCATGTACAATAAAGGTGAATGAGGTGCAATTTTTACAGGCTGATCTAAGAAGGGCTATGCTTGTATTTGAAAGCTGCTGGAAGTGTTGCACATAGAAGCTTATCATTTAACTGACTTCTAAAAGATGACACTTATCGGTCCGCCTTGCATTTCCTGTTCCTGTGGGGACATGTATTTCTATGTGTGTAAGAACAAATGTGTATGCCTGTTTGACACTGAAATACCAATTATTATCTACATTCTCATTAAGTGTTTCTAATTTCTGTTGCATCAAATGACGCTTCATTATTATTTAAATTTATTTCTTGGTATATTTAGCAGGGACGGTGCATATTGATAAAACACTCCTGTAAATGCAGTAAAGTTAGCCAAGAAGCTATTTTTCATCTGTAGTCCCTTTTTAGTCACCCTAAAAAAGAGAATTTAAGACTGAATTTGCAAAGTTTTTAATATAATTTATAAAAATGCTGAATAATAAACATCCTTAAGGACAACCTTATGCTACATTTTCAGTAACTATTTAAAACACAGAGGCCCAAAAAGCACGTATAAAACAAAAGGAAGGATATTGATGTTGTCATATGGACTAAATAAGACACCACTAACATGAAACATGCAGAGCAGAAGCTCAGACATAAAAAAAAGATTCACAATGCACATACACCTATAAAATAAATAATAAATTTAAACAAAACTATAATAAAAGTCATACATACAGGTACATGAGGGCAGGCTGGCGATAGCAGGATAAGTTTAAAAGTTCTAAATTAGGATCAGTGG